TGTGTGAGAGTGTGTGTGTGTGTGTGAGAGTGTGTGAGAGAGTGAGAGAGTGTGTGTGTGTGTGTGTGTGTGTGTTTAACCTTTGTGCCGTGGTGGTGATTGCATCAATAACTTCCATGATCCGATGCAGAGCAGAATCAGCTCCGATCGTCATGTCGGTTCCACAGAAATCATTATCGATGGATCCCACCAGACCCACGATGTTCAGATGCGTGTGCTGCTGCGCCAGAGTGTCCGTGATCCGGCCTGAAACACACAGACACGCTCCACATCAGCTCCTGTTCACCATAAGAGAAGCTCGAGGCGTGTTTTAATTCAAATGCACTGTTGCTCAGTGACGAGGGACACAGGAAGCTCTTGGCAGCTTCTAATGTAGCACAAACAGAAACGCTATTGATGCTGCTGTACTGAAGCAAGTGGAGCGTAACATTGTGACACAGAAAAGAGAGAATTTCAAAAGAGATCCAGCTCCGTCTAAAGTCCTGCTGTTCTACTGAAAACCTGCAGATCAGCAGGATCTGGTTTGAGTGTCAGAGGCCTGAACTGTCTCGTACAGACGCAGTGTTGTTATCATTAACTAAATCTAAAAACAAAACCATTAAAAAACATGTTAACTGAACATAAATGAGGTATTAATTTTTTTACTTATTTTTATTTCAGATATTCGCCATGCCAACATTTCTCATTTTTTTCATTAGTTTAAAGGCACAATATGTAAGATTTTTTTATTAAAATATCCAAAAACCACTAGAACAGTGTTATATATTTTGCTGACTTGTGTGCTTACATTATCCCAAATGTTTCGAAGAATGTTTAAATCCAGAGAAATAAGCAATTTTAATTAGTGACACGGAGCGTGTCCATTGTGTCATTGTGTCGCCTGCCAATGACGTCATAACCCCTCAATTTCATTTCTGCCCGAGTCCCGTCGGATTGCGTCGGCTGTGCGGATGAAGACTCATCCACACTCAGTCACAGCGTCATCAAACTACGCCTTTGTCTCTTTGTTTATTTTGAATACACGCCCTCCAGCGGCGAAAATTACATATTGTGCCTTTAAGTTGGACTGAAAATAACTGAAACTAAAATAAAATAAATTAAATTAAAACAAAACAATTGCTAAAACAAAAACTACAAAAAACAGAACTGAACTGAAATAAAAATGAACAAAAAAGACATTAAAAAAAAACTAATAAAAAAGACAAAAAACAACTAAATTACTAAAACTAAAACCATAAATAAATAAACAAACTAAAATAAAAAAAGAAATGTAAAAAAAAAAAACTAATAAAAAGACAAACACACAAAATAAAATTACTAAACTGGAAACAACTGAACAATTTTTTCAAACACAATAACTAATAAAAATGACAAAAAAAACAACAAAATTACTAAAATTGGAAATAACTGAAATCGAAGTAAAAAAATAAATAATAATGATTAAAAAGACATGAAAAGAAATACAAACGCACAACAAAATTACTAACTGGAAATAACTGAAAATGAAACAAATTAATTTAAAAAATAGACTTATTTAAAGAAACTAATTAAAAAAAACACTACTAATTACTAAAATTAAAGCTGGAAATAACTGGACTGAAACTGAAACAAAAGTTAATTAATAAATAAATGGACATATTTTAAAAAACAAAAATGACTAAAAAACAAAAACTGGAAATAACTGAAGTGAAACTGAAATAAAAAAAATAGTAAATAAATAAATAGTAAGTAACTTGACATTTACAAAAGGAAAACCAAAAAAATCTGACAAAAAAAAAAATCTGACAAAAAAAATCTAAATTATTAAAACTTAATTAAAACAAGATATTAAAACTAATTCTGAACATGAATAAAATGCAATAATTCTATAGTAAAATCAGACTGTACACTCTTAAAAATAAAGGTAAAAGGAATAAATTCACGATGCCATAGAAGAACCTTTGTCTAAATGGTTTCATAAAGAACCTTTAACATCTGAAGAACCTTTCTGTTTCACAAAAGCTTCTTTGTGGCGAAAGAAGGTTCTTCAGATTACAAAAAGGTAAGAAAGAGATGATTCTTTAAAGAACCTTTGACTCAATGGTTCTTTGTGGAACCAAAAATGGTTCTTCTATGGCATCACTGAAGAAGCTTTTAAGCACCTTTTTTTTTTATTTTTTAAAGGAGACCTATTATGCAAAAATCACTTTTATAAGGTGTTTGAACACCGTTGTGTGGCTGCAGTGTGTGAAAACATCCACCCAATCATTTTCCATCGTCTCTGATGCTGCCAGAACGATCGTAAATAGGAATGTGGTGGTTAAAAAATGCATATGAAAGCAATGTGAGTCGATCGCTTGAGAGTTTCTGACGGTTTCAGTGCGTGAGATTGTTTGTTGTTGCCGGAGCATGAAGCTCTTGAAGCTCCGCCTCTTCTGAAAAGGCTCAGCTCATTTGCATTTAAAGGGACACACACAAAAACGGCGCGTTTTGGCTCACACCCTAAAAGTGGCAACTTAAACAAGCTATAAAAAATGATCTGTGTGGTATTTTGAGCTGAAACTTCACATACACACCCTGGGGACATCGGAGACTTATTTTACATCATCTTGTAAAAGGGGGCATAACAGGCTCTGTGTACCTTGCTGCACGAGTTCAGCCAGCAGGTCGCTCCACTCGCTGCGGAAGATGTTGGCTCCGGTGAGGCTGCCGTCTCCGCCGCACACACACAGGTTAGTGATGCCGCGCTGGAGCAGGTGAAACGCCGCGGACAGACGGCCCTCGCGCGTGGTGAAGGCTTTACAGCGGGCGCTGCCGATGATGGTGCCGCCCTGACCGCAATCACAACATCTGTGGGTCAGATAAAGCACTACAACAGCACACAACCAGAGCACAATGCAATGCACTCAACCTCCAATAAAGCACTCGATGATCAGACACTATTTCACTAACTACATTAACCCTTTCAATCCCACCGGTCTCAATAAATTTCATTTATAAAGCTCGAAAAACCTTACTGACTGATGTTTTAGTGCACTTCCTGTAAATATTGAAAAAATAAAGGGTCTCAATTAAATATGTGCAGAGTCACATGACCAGAGCAGTTTACTTCCTGTTTGCACCTTGAGAAAATGATGGCTGCATCAAAGCATAAAGTATGTTAACAAAGATTTTTGGTACATGTTATCTTTTAGGTGTCTAGTATTAATATATGAATTCCCATATATTCAGTTTTGTTGAGTGTGGTCATAGGATGAGTAAACATGTTGATGGTCACAACAGTGATAATACAGTGAACTTAGGTTTACATATAAATCAATTGCAGTTGTTAGTGAAGGCTGCACTAAAATGTTGTACTGACGAAGTTCAAATGTTACAAATAAGTTGATGTTTTAATACTCGTAGCACTAATATAAAAATGTAATGATGTATGTTACAAAAAAGTAACAATTTTGAAATGTTGATGGTTGTATTTTTTTTATCTCAGTATTCCTATCAATGTTGTATAAGGGTTTTTTAAGCATAATAGTAACCATAGAGTGTGATAAAACTGTTTATAATAGCTGGGCTGAGATATATAACCATTTTTATGACTGCAGGAATATGTTAATTCAGTACACACATTATCCCACAATTGTGACTCACCATAAAACACCATTTTTTTTTACACACTTTTCCAAACAATTAAAAAAAAAATCTGATCAGATTGATTATTTCAAAGGGGTTACTTTTCATGTATGGGAAAAATTTTAGATTAAATGGGTCAAAAAGGCAACATAGTAATTCAATGCCACTCGCATAAACATGCAACATTTGCACAACATGACAAGTAGGGATGCACCGAATGTTCGGCAACCGAAATTATTCGGTTAAGCTCTTTCGGTGTTCAGAATAAGCGGAAAGACCGAATAAATTGTACTGAACAATGACATGATGCGATCAAATAGAGGCACGCACTAATGCAGCAAACATGTCGGCAGTGTGGAAGCATTTAAAAGTGTCTGAGAAAGACGCAAACATCATTACAAGCACCGACAGCGAATCGTGAAATAGCCTTAAACAATTAGTAAATAAACTGCAAAATGTTATGTTTTTTAACAACGCACGAATTGCATGTGTTCAAACAGCGCTGCACGAGCTCGCGGCGCCAGGGTTCAGAGTCCAAACCGTGAGGGAAAATCTGCGCTGAAACAGTGTTACTCGTCAGCTGCTCAGTAACATTTTTATGAATTTTTTTAAAGGCATGTGGCAATGCGATTCGTGCGACAAACATCTTCCCAAATTCGTAATGAGAATCATTTATAAATCTGCTGCTGTCAACAAAAAGAAGCACTGAGATCTTCCTGCGGGATTCCGCCAAAATAAAAGCTCCATCAACATTCATAAACGTTATTATTGTAATTTTACTGTTGTTCTGTAAAATAAAATAAAGACAAGAATAATGATAATAATAATAATTACAATAGTTATATTAATACATTTATTATAACATTAACACATAGTGTTCAAATTGGGATCTGTAATATTTTCTAAGGTTTAAAAGAATTCTCTTCTGATCAGCAAGCCTGCATTTATTTGTACAGTAAAAAAAAAAGCATGCCTGATTCAAGAAGGGGGTCTCAAAAATGGCCAAAAAATATTATTTTACTAACTTTGAAGAAATTTGAAGTTAAATTGTGCTTTGTAGGTATAATGTCTGCTAGAATGTAAAAAAATGTTCAGTGTTAATATTTTTAAATTTTTGTTTTGTAATTGATTTTTTTTCTTTGAAAAGTAAGACAAAACAGTAAAAAGCATATTTTGGCTATTTAATAGTGGTGTCAAAATTAGCGCATTAACGCAGGCGATACATTTTTTCAGTTTAACGCGTAAAAAATATTTAACGCAATTAACGCAGGGGCGGGGCTAGGGTTGGCCACCCCACTCACAGCTGCTGCTTCTGTCACTTTTTCTCTTAACAAGAAGTGCATTTATTCAGTAGCAGAACGACTGAGAACGGGAGACAGACGTTTCAGACACACGCTCCACTTCACTTTAGCGCCAGGCGCGAGTCAAACGAGCGCGGAAACGGTACTGTGCTCGCAGCGCGTGCTCTTCAAATGCACTGTAGCCTGTATCCTTTCATATCAAAGCGCGAAATAAACTACGTGCATGCAATGTTGTGGTCAGTTAAGTCATGAAGTTACCAAAAATGCGATTAAAGCTGCCTTAAAACTGTGCATGCATGTAATATATTTTATATGAGTCACATTTAAGAACATGTCTCTGAAATGGTTTTCAAAACTGTCCTGGAGTCTCCCTCACCTAACACACCCGATTTAACTCATCAGCTCAATAATAGAGACTTTAAGACCCGAAGTGGGTCAGAAAAGGTAAAGAGAGTTAAGAGAAAATACAATGCGTGTCAGATCCGCATCACGTTCAGCAGCGGCAGCTCTTAAAGTAATAGCAGCCTTATTTTTTCTGCTGGCGCCTCTGTGCACACTTCCGGAAAAATCGGACGAAAAAAATACAAAAAACTGGCCGGTTGCCGATCGCACATTATAAGCAAAAACCGTCCGGTTCCGATTTATGGCCGGTCAACCGGTGCATCCCTAGCTATAATCAATGGTTAAATATGGGGGGGGGGCAATTTTATAGAGAAATCAGTATTGGTATCATTGATACTGGCCTTCAGTCATAAAAAAGATGCCATTAAACAAATATTAAAAATGTACTGTCTTTATGTTGTTTGTACATTAATTGGAAGACTGAATGTGAAATTATTGCAATATGAAAGTATATTAAAAAACTTTAATGTTAGGTGGGATTAATCGCGATTAATTTCAGAAAAATGTGCGATTAATTAGTTAATTTTTTTAAATCGATTGACAGCACTACTATTTAATTTATGCAATGGTGAAAAAACTGGCAAAATACATGGGGAAAAAATGTGAAAAACCGTGTTCTCTATTGGTACAGTGTTTCATTTTGTTCAGCTTCGGCCAAGAATTTTAATTTCGGTGCATCCCTAATGACAAGCATGCTTCTGTTTGAAAGGCATTCTGCACACTGTGTTAGCCAAATACTCCAGTATATACTGTGTCACGAGTCTGTCTGTGATGTAAACGCTGCTGAGGGACGCAGCTGTAATCTCAGATTTAATCTGCTGCTTTAATCTAAATCCTGTTTCTGCTGCTGTCAGTCAAAACGTGCAGGAAGACACAGAAGAGGAGGATGTTATCTCAGAGTTTCCTGTATAAATACAACTCCCTGACATTATAAGATTATTAAAGGCTGTAAAAAATCAATATGAAATCACATTTGAACCAGTTTGCATATTCAATACATCTGCTTCTGTTCCATTAGATTTACATCTAGAAGCACGTATGGCAGCATAACACATGCATGTGACAAACAAACAAGCATGCATTAAAACGGATGAAGACTCACCAGCTGAATGATGTTGGTGACGCTCTGCCAGTTGGCGAGTTTGATGTTATCTCCTCCATCTACCAGGCCTTGATAACCCTGGAGAAACACATGCATCAGTACGAGCGCAGCGCTCCGTGACTCAGTGCATGCGGAGCAACATCTCTCACCTCAAAAATCAGGTAGACTTTAGCGCCTACGTAAATGCCCATGCGTGTTACAGCACGAACGGCCGCGTTCATACCTGCAGAAATCACACGTTATCATGCATCTCACGCCGCTCTACGCAACCCTGAAAACAGCACCTAAAATTTGTGTTTAATGCAGCAACTAAAGAGACATGCATTGACAAACTGTTTGTAATGCAATATGGTGACACAACATGCAATGCAAATTTAATCTGGAAACAAATCCGGAACAAATAACAGAACTACTGAAGCATGAGACGTGCATGCACACTAGATAGGGCTCATGAGAGGTTACATAACAGTCAGTTCATGCATTACTTATGCACCAGATACTCACTCTCTGACATATCAGAAAAAACAACGAAAATCAAGAAATGACATCAAATCATTCCATAATTTGGGGTCATTCCACATCAACTCAACCGGAGTTGTTGTTTTGGGATTTTGTTAATATTTTTTTCTCGTCAATGCATAAATGAATTAGAAAGCCAAATTATTAAATGTCACTGATGTATATTTATTATTTTGTAGAGGGGTCAAAATGACAATTTCATTAAGTCAAATTTATTAAGAAACAGAATCACATTGAGCCATCTTTAATACTTCTCGAGTTACATGCATGCAAACTTCGGAAAAAGACTATTTATGGCACTAAGAATTGGTTTTGATGGAGGAAAACAAGATGCATTTCTACTTTCAACATTATTTGTTCTTCAGATGTTTATCTTTAAAAGAAACAAAGTATTATCTCTGTGCAAAGTGACCCACATTTGGTTTTTGACCACTGAAAATGTAACAATTTACTCCTGGAGCCATATTGAGATTCCAGTATCTCTGAACCCGAACCATACAGGGCCTTAAAAATTAAGATGCCAAAAGAAAAGTTTGTTAAGATCCAAAATCTAAAAGTGCATTAAGATAGCTTTAATACTTGTTGAGGTACAGGCATGCAAACTTTGGAGAAAAAACTTGAAAAGTGCTTTTTCCCATTTTTGAACAGTCATCATTGGCACATAATAGTGCTGGGCGGTAGGGGTGTGCGATATATCGTCTGCGATAATATCGTAATTGTTGTTTTAACGATGTGCGATTTGACATTATCGAGTATTTTGCAAAAACCATTCAAAACATCCCTACAGAGCGCACGCATACATTACGTGAAGTCTAGACTAGTGCGTGTGTGCATTTAGTGTGTTTTCTTTCACTGCATGATTCAGTCTATTAAAATGCATTAAGAAAGATCACAAAATTCAAGATATGGGGGCAGAAAATGTACATATTTATAGCATGAAAAAAAATACCGTCATGTACCGTGAAACCGGTATATTTTTGAAAAATACCGTGATCTGCATTTTTGGTCATACCGTCCAGCACTAACACATAATGCAACAAAGATTGCTAAAGTCAACAGATTTTACTAACCGACCAACCAATCAAAATTAAATAACGATGCTGCCATCTTTCTACAGTTATTTTATCCTCCTGTAATTTGGCTCCGAATCTCAATTTTGACCCCACTCTTCAAAATAGTGCATTGCTCAGTAAATATTCATCCATGACATTTAATATGTCGGCTTTCATCACTATACATGTTTATTTTCTTAAGAAAAAACTAAAAAGTTGAGCCGGGAAATTTTCTGAAATTTGTCTGATTGGACATTTTGAACGTTTAAAAGCATTCAGAAATAACATTTTCATCACGGTTTCAAAGTGATTAAATGGAATGCTACTCAAACATTCACATACCAAGAAAAAACTTCTTTTTTTTTAATAAAAAAGGTGATATTGAAACATTGAGAGAACATTCAAATGTAACATTCTCATAACATTTTCAAACTGATAGAATGGAGTGTTCCACTAACGTTCGCATGACCAAGAAAAAACTATCTTTATACATTAAAAAACTGGACGTTTTGAACATTTAAGAAATAACGTTTGAGAAACATGTTTGCAAAACGTTCTTAGACTATATATTTCCTCTACAACAGGGGCTGCGTGTCAATATCAAGCACGATCCCTATTTATACAGCATTTTGTGCATCATATGTTCGAAAATCAAAGAATTTGTGCATCAAAGACCAAGTGTTGGCTAAAACGTCTGGGTTGAGCAGCAGTCGCAGTCAGCTTGTGCTGTCTGAGTCTGCCCTTCGCTCGCTTTATGCGCTTTATTTGCTCTTTCTAGTCATTTTTACCCTGTGCATCGCCGCCGCTCGTCAGCACCGCGATAGCTTTTCCCGCGCCGCTCATCCGCAGCTTCTCGAAGTCCATATGCATGATGGAAGATCACAGATATGAGCTCTTAACGCCGGAAAAAACGATGCTTTCCTGCGCACTGATTCCCGTGAAAGCTTCTTATTACATTCGCCTCACGCAGCGCACGAACTGTGCGTCGCTCCGCCTCTTGTTTGCTCTTCTGGGCGTTCCCGCGAGTGTTGCCAAGTCCGCGGTTTTCCCGCGAAATTGGGCTACTTTAATGCTGTGTTCAAGTCCTCCTGGGACGTTCGTGCTTATGTGTTGACAAATCGTAATTATGACGTCAGGTGCGTTTAAGTCAGTTTAGTCGGCACAAGATGGCGGTGTACCTTCTTTTAATAAATTACAAGAAAATACAACAGGGTCTGTTAACTCTGCTTATAGAAAACGAAGAGCAAAGAATTCGCATTAGGTGTGTTTTGTGTTTTTAATATTTTTTTTAGACCAGGATCCCAGTATTAACTGATTTTCAGCATCAACAAACGCTAAAATACAGAGATTTAAAAAAGCTGTTAGCTAAATGCAACATGCAACATGGCAAATCAAAAGATTTTTCACCTATAGGTGCAAAAATGATAGCATTTTTTTACTTGGATTTCATTAACTAGCTGCGTAACAAGAACATGACCAATTTAAGTTTATAGGACAACTAAACTATCAATTTAAACAAAAATGTACCGACACGTTGCATCCATCGATTCCGCCATGTTTCTCACTAACACGCCCCCAACTCCGAAACTCAGGGCTTAAAAAAAAATTCGAGTTTCCCACTCGTAATAACGACTTTGTGGTGGCGTTCATGTGCGTTCAACTCGTAAATACGATCTATCCGACATGACTTGAACGCACCATAACACTCAACTATGTTTACATGGACATCAATATTCCGATTTTAACACGATTAAGACAATACTCTGATTAAGAATCTGCGTCCGAAATGGCATACTTCCCTACAATATAGTAGGCAAAAAGCAGTAGGCGAGCAAATAGCATGCTTGAATCCTCAGCATTCATAAAAGAGTAGGCGAGAATTACCTGGCTGGTGCACTAATTCTCGCGAGATTCGGACGTATGTATACTTATGGTGCGTTCAAGTCATGTCAGATAAATCGTATTTACGAGTTGAACGCTTGCGTTCTAATATGCCTACTTACCTACTAGCCTACATAGTAGGAAAAAAGAGTCCGTGAAGAAAGAAGTACGTTCGAAAACTCAGTATTCATAAAAGAGTACGCGAGAAATCCCCGGATGTCCTACTGCTTCAGCTCATGGATCTTTTTCACATTTCCGTGTTTCTCTGCAGCGGAAGTCGTCATAGTTGGGTAAACGTCGAGAGCAGTGAATAGGTACACAAATATATATTTTTTGTATTCCCATTTGCTCAAATAGCGAACGAAAAACTCCACGATAGTGTTTTCATCACTTTCAAAAAAATTTTTTAAATTGACATAACGGCAGTCAGGAGAGAGAACGATGTCCAATTTATCGTTCCTCCCATAGACGCTGCATTAGAAACACCCTCGCATTAGCGTTAACTAGTTTTTTTGTAATTTGATGCAAAGGTGATATAATACAAAGAATAATGTTATAAATGTACATACATTAAAAAATATATATATATATAAAAAACTTTTGAGGATTTACGATGCGGATGACCGTTAAACGCGTTCTGGGGGATAATATACAGGTTTTTTGGTGGGGTTCCCCTGGTTAAATTCACATTCCAGAGGCTAAATATCACGTTACTGGGGTCGCTTCAACCTGCGGACATAATAAACAACCCGCAGCAACAGTGTTAAAATATCCCAATTCTGGACTCTTCTGTAGTTACATCGTGTACTAAGACCGACGGAAAATGAAAAGTTGTGATTTTCTAGGCCGATATGGCTAAAAAAAAAAACATTACTTCCCCCGACGGAAAATGAAAAGTTGCGATTTTCTAGGCTGATATGGCTAGGAACTATACTCTCATTCCGGCGTAATAAGCAAAAATAAGCAAAAAAATAAGCAAAGTTCCTTGATTATTACGCTGGAATGAAAGTATAGTTCCTAGCCATCTTAGTACACGATGTAACTACAGAAGAGTCCAGTTTTAAATAGGAAAAATATAGAGACTCTTTGGTCATTTTTGAGCGAGATGCTAACGGTCTAATCCGATTCAATGATCTATGCTAAGCTACAGCTAAAAGTGCTACCGCCAGACCCGGAGATCGGCTGAATGGATTCAAAAACGGTAAAACTCAACTGTAAAACTCTAGGGGAGTCGGAAAATGAGCCTATTTTCAAAAATAGTGGAGTGTTCCTTTAAAACACGAGATCTCTTAGAAACGTAATGTGCTAAATCAACAATGAACTGACTTAAACTGAAAGATTTACTGTTTACTATTGTCATACAAGCAAGTGCAAAACAATATAATGCAATTATGTGCAGTGTGCTGAAGAATGTGTCATCCCTGTTACTCTGCCAATCCTGCTTCCACCATCCATTTCAGAAAAATTGTAAAAATGATATTTTTATACAGCCTTCCAGGTTTTTCCATTGCAACTTTAAAGCAGCACTATGTAACTTTTTCTGTGTTCAAAATTTGCAAAATTTATATAATGAGCGAGTACATCATGAATTCATCTTCCAAACCGCGTTTTTGTCTTATTCCGAATCGCAACGGTACACTTATAATAAGTGCATATATTCGGACTATTGTAGCCTGGTCACCGCTGCGGAGTAACACATACCTGCGTGAATCGCCATCGACATACACTTAGAGAAGTAGTTCCGGGTAGAATGTTCTTCCGCGGGACGTGTGCAGTTCTGTTTATTAACCGCTAGAGCGCCAAACGTTACATAGAGCTGCTTTAATAGATTTTATTTTATGTCTTTTGTCAAAAAAAAATATTTTTTTTTTTTCTTAATTGGCATGTAGTCACCCTCCAAAATTAGGATGTTCTTGGTCATCTGAATGATAAACGTAAAACTATTTTTTTTTAAATCCCAAATTTGAAACAACTCCAGTGAAAAGAGGGACTAAAATGCTGCTCATATATGTGAAAAAACTATCACATAGTTCTAATTAAACTATAGTATCTAGTAACGCTTGTGTCGGTAACAGGGTTGACAAAAATGCCAAAACATGAGGTAGAAAAATAGTCATAAAATAATAAATGTAATATTTATGTAATAATAAATTACACAGCCTGAGATGGCACAATACATTCTTCATTTCATGGACGTGTTCAATACTTATTTGTATATTATTTATACAATACTGGTAAAAAATGTATAGCCTGAATGCACTGTAAATCGCTTTGGATAAAAGCGTCTGCTAAATGCATAAATTATTATTATTATTAAATATTATTTGACCTGCTGTATGTCTACGATGTTTGGAACATTAACACAAATAGAACTGTATGGTGTCATATTTGTTTTTGTACAAGATACCATTGATTCTAAAAGTACAGTTCATTTTCTTACACAACTAGTTATTTTACTTGGAAAAGATCACATTCATGTAAAGAAATGGGCTAAAGCTGAGCTAAATTGTGAACATTTTATAAAAGAAATGAAACAATGTGGTACTACTTTTGCACAATATTAGAAACAGAAAAGCTGAAAAGACCTATGAAGCACTATGTCACTTTAATTTGGTTAATTAAATGTTTAATTTTTTTAATTTTATTTAGTTATTTATTTATTTTACCCATGTACATGCACTTATTTGTTTTTTTTCTTCGTATACCCTTTTTTTTAATTGTCATATTACTGTTGTGAGATGTATATGTTGTATTAATATGTATGTACATTATTGCATAATAAAAAAATGTTTGGCGTTTTGTCGCCCTCTGCTGCTGACGCTGTGAACTCAGCGATGTTGTAACGCGCTGTTGTCATGGAGACGCAGTGAGGCGCATGCGCAGTGAGTGACGCACCGCAGCGCTGTGGCGATGATCACTGAACGCGTTTGAGGTCGATATCGACGCATTTCCAATCGAAATCTTAACATTTATCAGCATGAAATTAACGCGTAAACTCGTTCTAGCTCGGGCTAAAGCATCGGACCTGGAAAGCGTGAAGAAGCTGAACTGCTGGTGTGTTTTCTGCTGTTCGTTAGCGGTTAGCCTGATGCAAACGAGGCGGCATTAATTATGATTATTCATTTATTCCGTGTTTTTGGGTTCGTGTCTAGTTAGATATCTGAATTTAATGGATGATATTTGCTGAATAACTATTTTCTAAATCATTTATTCGTGTGTTTCAGGGGCTGCAATCTGACAGATGTGAGTTTTCAATCTTTTTCTTCCGTTTAATGTTTAAAATGCATAATACTCTGTGTGTGTATATATATTTGTATTATTAATATACTATTAAGAGTTTTTGTTAATATTTGAAATTTTTATATTTTCTCATTTCAAATTTACATTTTTAAAGTTAGTACAAATCACTTTTTATTATTTTTAGTAAATTGTCCATATAGTTTCTATTAATTTTATTTATTAGTTTTAGTATAATTAAATTATGGATTTTTAATTAGGGATGCACCGATACCACTTTTTCCAGTACTCGCCCGATACCGATACTTTTATTTTTGGTACTTGCCGATACCGATGCCGATACCTATATTTTTATTACATTTGTAAATTTTTTAAATATTGGGTACAGAAACCAAAAGGGTATGTATAATGTTAGTTGGTTAACTTCATTTATCAAATAGATACAGTCAAACCAAAATATATTCAGACACCTTCAACAT